CACACACACACACACACCACACACACACACACACACACGCACACACACACACACCCACACACACACACACCCACACACACCCCCCCCCCACACACACACACACACACACACACACACATCCCCCCCACATACATACACATTCCCCTCCCACAGATACATACACCCCACCCCCCCACACACACACACACCATCTCCTAGGTATTTCTGACAGGACCTAGGTGAGAATCTTGGTGGTGCTTGCTTTTTCTGCTAATGCCAGAGAAAATCCTCAAACCTGGGTTGCCCATGATGACAAACAGATTAACAAAGGCCCTATGGGCTGGGCTGGTGGTACAGGTTTGTAACCCCAGCTCCTTTAGAAGCTGATACAGAACGTCTGAAATTCAAGAATAGCCTGGTCTATATAGCAAGTTGCAGGCTAGCCAGGGCTACATAGTGAGACCCTGTCTCAAACAACAACAAAAAACAAAATAATAATAATAGTACTAACAAAAAGTAAAAATACTTTTCTAACATGTCTATGACCCTAGGTTCGATCCCCAGTACTGCAAACGACACACACACACACACACACACACACACACACACACACACACACACACACCACACACACACACAAGCCTCCTTGGGAATGGCGGATCTATGGATAACTTAGTTAACTTCCAGAATCATTTCTATGAAACACCCTCACATCTAACTCCCAGACTTACTGAGGCAGCACTAAGCTCTCCTTTGAAAGGGCAATTCCAGGGGAGGAAAAAAATCCTGTTTTCCCTGCTGCCGAGTGCTTTTCTTAGGTTCACATCACACCATCACTCTGCCCTCCCACCTGACTTCAGGTAACCAAGTCCCTGTGTCACATCCCCCTTCCTCCCCAGCCTCGGCCACTGCTCAGCAGGTCAGGGTTCTCTGCTCCCTTTTAGCCTAGCTTTCATGTTTGAGCCCTAACAACACCTACTTCCTCTGACACCACCAGGACGAGGAGTACCCAGAGGGACTCAGAACCCTAAATCGAGGGCTAGGTTATCCAGAATCCCAGAAAAACCTAGCAATGTCCTCTGGTCAAAACCACATTAAGCCCTGAAGCACTGACCACAGTGACACCTGGTGGCCAACAAGAGAAAGCAGGAGGAAGCCAACAGAAAGCAGGCAACAGAAGCAGAGGAAGGGCCAAATGGAGAACAGGAAAAGGCTTCCTTACACGTTATTGGGATTTCATTCCTTAGTTTCAAGGGATAAAACTTCACACGGTGGTAACTAAGAGACGACGGCATAATTTTGATAATTTCTTCTCTATATGCGTATTAACTTGATCATATTTGAAGGAACTATGTAAACAAACACAGGTGTGACTCGATCACAGCATCCAGTCTTGTCCTCATCAGCGGTGCTCTTGGATAGACAGGGACATGCCTTCTGGTCAAAGTGGCCTCAGGCAGAGAGCCACAGAAGAGGGCATCTCTGTGACACTGGCCCCAAGCTGGTGTTCCACCTGAACTCCATAAAGCTGAGTACCAGCATACGGCATTCATGCCCCAGTGGTTGGGTGAGCATCCCCAGCCCCAACACCAGGGTCCACAGAACACAGGTGACAGCACCACAACCACTCTGTAAGTATCCCTTTCATCACAGCCAAGCGTTACAGCTGGTGCATTTACCGCTGCCTCCTCCCCAGCCCTCTCAGGGTTCATGACCAAACCTAGCAGAGCCTGACAAGCTCTGTATCACTACGCCCACAGCTGCTTCCCTTCCCTCTTGACCCTGCTCTAAGATTCAGAGGCCGCCGAAATAAGAGGCACTCGGACATCTCTGATCTCGCCATGACTTTCAAAACTTCTTCCTGAAGTCGCGCCCTCCTTTCAGCTTCCTCTAGCCCTTTCAGCCCAGTTCCCGGCTTGTCCTCTACCAGCTGTCTGCCCTCAGTTCCCTGGAACATCACCTGTACACAGCAGTGATGGGGTCTACAGCATGTCTCTGACACAGCAGTCCAGCGGCCGGTTAACACATAAGGAAGCACAGCCTACAGTTCCCAACTCACCTGGCATAAGGAGATCTGGCAGAAGCCAGCAAGCCCAGCCCACCCAGCCCTCCCAACCTCCCCACTCTTTCTTCTTTCCATAGCCATGCTCTGCTCCACCCACCCTGACACACTAAGCGCGATCTGCGTGTTTCTGTGCCCTGCAATCCCCCCTCTTCCTCACAAGTCCATGTGACTCATCTATACCTGTTCAAATGTCCCCTTTCAGTACGGCCTTCCTTGCCACCCTTCCTGCTCTCCGTCTTAGATGTGTAGTTCCGAGCAAGCACATGCCCTGGTAGTAGCAGGAACTCCCAGAGAAAAGTGTCAATGGCTCCCTGCTGCTTCCCTGCTCTATGCCCTCCTTTCAGACTCTCCTTGCCAGCCCATCATGCACTGGCCTGTTTCAATCCCAGTGACATCCATACACAGGTGTCTTGTAGGCCCTTCAACCAGCAAGGGAAGAATGATGCTGGCAGGGGGAAAGCTAGGAAGCTCTTGGGGTCATCTACAACCTGGAAGGTGGCCAATGCCGTCAGAAGGTAAGGCAGAGAGGGGTTGAGAGGGAGAAGCTGGACAGGTGGACAGAGGCCATATCAAGCAGGAGTCTAAGGACCAAGTTCAGAATCTTGCCCTTTCAGATCAGTTCCAGCGGCCACCGGATGGCTGCTTCCTACCCTGCTTTCCTCACACCTTTGTCATGTGTTTCTTAGCCTCACTGGCAGCTGATGGTTTGCTTGTTTCTCACCAAGAAAACTGGAATGGCGGGGTGGGGGTGGGAGGGATTTCTACAGATTCCTCGCATACTTTCTCAGCTGCCAGTATTTCAGTGCTGGGAGTTAAACCCAGAATCTTGCACATGCTAGGCAAGCATTCTACCAGGGATCCAGAGCTCTAGCCTTCACCTTCTCTCTTGATCTTAGGACTAAAAGACGCATGCTTCTTGGGAAGAGCAATAGGCAGCCTCTCACACTGCTCAGTGGTTGATGAGATGCCTCATCCAGCAACTGCCCGGTTTCTTTGTCCCTGTGTGCCATCAGATCCTTCCACACGGTGCCGGAACTCCATCTCACTTGTCCTCCTCCCAACGCTCCTGAGCCCTCTGCAATGGCCTTCACCCCCACCTTGTCCAGATATGGATCTGCTCAAACGTCACCTGGTTCTTGTCCAGATCACCTCCACCACTAAATGTGATGGCCAGTTCTTGATCCTCATCTTTTTTTGGGGGGGGAGCAGGGGTTCGAGACAGACTTTCTCTGTGTAGCTTTGGAGGCTGTCCTGGAACTAGCTCTTGTAGACCAGGCTGGTCTCAGAACTCACAGAGATCGCCTGCCTTCACCTCCCACTAAAGGCGTGCCCCACCACGGCGCGGCTGACCCTCTTCTCATCCTGTGTCTCATGAACACGCCCTCTTCCTTCAAAGGCCATTTCACTTGGCTTCCATTTGCCATCGTCTCCCTAATGGCCAGACACTTTTGCAGCCCAAGATGCAGTGCTCAGATTCCTCTTTCACAGTTTTCTGGAGTTAAAAATGCCAGAGGGAGCTGGGCGTTGGTGGCGCACGCCTTTGATCCCAGCACTTGGGAGGCAGAGGCAGGTGGATCTCTGTGAGTTCAAAGCCAGCCTGGTTTACAGAGTGAGTGCCAGGACAGGCTTCAAAGTTCCACTGAGAAATCCTGTCTTGGAAAGTAAATAAATAAATAAATAAATAAATAAATAAATAAATAAAAATGCTAAAAGGTGCGGAGATGCCTCAGTAGTGAAGAGAGCATACTGTTCTTGCAGGGAACACAAATTTGGTTCCCAGTATGTAGATTGGTGCTTGTACCACCTGTAACTCCAACTATAGGGAATCAGCGCCCTCTTCTGGCCTCAATGAGTACCTGCATTTACACGCACATATGGACATGTAATTAAAATATAAGGGCTAACTGTAGTGGTACAAGCCTTTAATCCTAGCACTCAAGAAGCAGAGGAAGGTGGATATCTGTGAGTTCAAGGCCAGCCTGGTCTACATAGCAAGTTCCAGGTCAGTCAAGGCTACACAGTGAACCGCTGTCTAGAAAATAAATAAATAAAAAGCCAGGAGTATGCCTTTAATCCTAGCACTCAGGAGGTAGAGGCAGGAAGAGCTCTGTAAGTTTGAGGCCAGCCTGGTCTATAGAAGGAGTTTCAGCACAACAGAGGCTACACAGGGAAAACCTGTCTTGAAAAAAAAAAAAACCAAATATATACATACATATATGATAATATATATATATATATATATATATATATATACAAAATATTTTAAGATAGTTGAGGTTATAATTGGGTGTGGTACACATGTCTTCAATCCAAGCCCTCATAAGGTAGAAGCAGGCAGATCTTTGTGAGTTCTAGGCTAATCCAGACTACATAGTAAACCCCTGTCTCCAAAAACAAACTCAAAAAACTGGTTTTGGAGCTGGAGAGATGCCTCAGTGGTTAAGGGCAACTGCTGCTCTTTTAGAGGCCCAGGGTTTAGTTCCCCCGGATCTATAGCCCATGACTCACAACCATCTATATAATCCCAGCTCTAGAGGATCCAACTCCCTTTTCTGGCTTCTACAGACACTGCATGCATGTGGTATGTGGATGGACAAGCAGGCACACACACCCATAACAATTACAAATACATTAATACAACAAAACAAAACGTCACAAGGCTAGGGATGCAGATGGGTGGTTCAGTATTTCCTAGCATGGGAGAAGTCCTGGGCTAGACCCCAGAAGAAAATAAAAGTGCTCAGCATACTCAAGGTGGTGCTTGCACCTGCAATTCCAACACTTGGGAGGCTGAGCAGGAGACTTCCTCAAGTCCCAGGCTAGTCCAGTCTACAGAGTGAGTCTCTTTTTCCTTCTTTTTTGTTTTGTTTTTTGAAACAAGATTTCTCTGTGTAGCTTTGGAGGCTGTCCTGGCACTTGCTCTGTAGACCAGGCTGGCCTCTAACTCACAGAAATCCATCTGCCTTTGCCTCCTGAATGCTGACTCGCCTGGCAAGTCTCTGTTTCAAACCCAGTGACAGCAAGAGGAAATGCTTCTATAATTGAGTGTAGTAGTATTTGCATAATCTTTGATGAACAAAAAAAATCACTGAGTTGTACAAATTAAACAGCTGGGTTACATAGTAAGTTTTATATCAGAAAGCTGTTACTAAAAAAAAAAAAAAAAAAAAAAAAAAAAAAAAAAAAAAAAAAAAAAAAAAAAAAAAAAAAAAGCAGGGTGGTGGAAGCACACACTTTTGATCTCAGCTCTTGGAAGGCAGATCGAGACCAGCCTGGTCTACAAGAGCTAGTTCCAGGACAGCCTCCAAAGCCACAGAGAAACCCTGTCTCGAACCCCCCCCCCAAAAAAAAAAGAAAGAAAGAAAAGAAAAACCCAAAGTAATAATTACCAATAATAACTGGGTTGGAGAGATGGCTCAGAGGTGAAGAGGGCATATAAACTAGTTTGGTTCCTAGCACTCATACCTAGCACTCAAGTTTTGGGGTACCTGATGGCTCTAGCGTCTGAGCACTCTCTCTCACACACATACACACACTCATAATTAGAAATTTTTCCAAAGCTGGGGGTATAATTCAACTGAACAGCCTTTGCCTAACATGTGTAAGACCCTTGGTTCAATCCCTAGTGTGTGTGTGCATGTCTCTGTTGATAGCTGGCTCCCTGGCCTCCCTCAAGTCCAAGTTCAAATAGCCCCAGAAGAGGTCTTTTCTAACCATGCTATCAAAAATTGACATCCTACCTCCAAAATAACCACTTTCTCTGCTTATTTTCTCTCCCTACACAGGTCATGTAATGTGTGAGACATAGTTTACTCATTTGCTTTGCTGTGGGTTTGCCTTGCTACAATGTCAGCTTTGCTCAATCCCCAGTCAGGAGTACTATGCATATAATAAATAATACATAGTCAACAAAAATGAACGAGGAGAGGAAAGAATTTGCAAACAGTTACACTCATTATTTCATAAAGTCCAAACTTTTCCCCGCGGCTCCGAAGCTGAGGACCAGGAGATATTGGCCAGTGCCGTCTCCCATCCTATATCGTTCCTTCCAGCCAGCTGTGCTTTCCTCGGTTCCG